AGTCAGCACCTCCAGGGGAGAGGAACAAAGGGGAAGCTGAAAAGGCTGGGCTCTTCATGAATGAACGCGACAGGTTTCAAAGAACCGCACTGAATTCTTGGCATTGCTTTGTTTCAGTACAGGGAACTCGGATTAATAAACGCAGGGATTGTGGTCAACCTGCATCGCAATAATGATGACCTTTTGCATTTGATACAGCGCCTTATCATGCCACCGGGATGTCTCAAAGCGCTTTGCACGATTTTACCGTAAAATTAGTGACTGAGCTGTTTTGTTGGCAAACCGGTTGCATTCAACAATGTCCCTCAAATAACGGTCGGGAGGATTTCTCAAGGCGCTGGACAGCCAAAGGTTTGCACCCGAGCTGCGGGCTGGAGTCAAGAGGGGCGGAGGGCAGGAGGTTGGTGGGGGTGGAAGAGGGAGAATGATCAAAGGCACGGTCGAAGAGGAAGGCCTTGAAGGAGGCAAGAGAGGGGCCGAGGCAGAGGGGTGGAGGGATGGAGTTCCAGAGGGTTGGGACAAAAAGGCTGAAGCCCCGATCTCCGATGGTGGAGCAGACAGGTTGGTAGGGTTTTAGGAGGTCACAGAGGTTGGGCGGAGCAAGATCAAGAAGGGCTTTAAAGGTGAGAACAAGGATTTTAAGCTTGATCCTCTGGTAGATAGGGAACTGGTGAAGCCAGGCGAGGATGGGAGTGATCGGCTGATTTTATCTGGAGACTTACTGGTCAGGACACCGGGAGAAACTCCCTTCGCAATAAAAATTATTTTGCTGCAAATTAGGACAGCCATTGAAACTAAAGGAGCAAATATGAGAATGCAAACAGCATTTCCTCCTACACAAGTGCACGTACACACAATGTTACAACCAGCATAAGGTCATAAGGTTGCAACAGTCACCTCACTAAAATTTTGGGAACCATTAACTAACTCACTACCAATTTTCCGTCAATGTTAATGGCATTTCGTACCGCATTCCATCAGGAGTTTGAGTTCACAATCCAGGCTGATGCTCCAAAAACAGTCCTGGGGGTGGGATCGCTCATTGTCGGAGGTGCCATCCTTCAGATGAGATGTTAAACCGAGATCTTCTCTGCCTGTTCAGGTGCGACGCTAAAGATCCTGTGACATGATTCGGTAAGAGAGATTCTCATGGTTTCCTGGCCAACGATTCCTCAGATAAAAAAAATCGGGTCATTCACTTCATGTCTGGGTGCGGGACATTGCTGTACTCAAATAGTGTGCTTCTTTCGCCCACAAAATACACAGTGTAATTTACAGTGAAATCCTGTGTAGAGTTGTGCGTCATTCCATCAAACTGCTAAAGCACTGTATCAAATGCAAGTATTATTTTTACTCTCATTACAATGTTCAAAGCAGCTTGTATTAATAATCTCTATCCCACATTCCTCTCCTCTTCGCTGTGTGGAAGGTGTCCTTTTCCCCAGTCTCTGGCCAAGGAACAATAATAATCCTTGCATTTGATACACTTCATTCAGACATCTTAAAGTGCTTCACAGGATATATTGTGAATTCACTGTGTATTTTGGAGTGAAACACAGTAGCCAGTTTGTGCACAGAAATGTCTCACAAACAGCCATGGAGGGAGTGACCAGTTTTATTTGAGGGATTTCTTGGCCAGGACACCAGGAGAGAGAAACTCCCTTCTTCTTTTGAATTGTGCCATGGGATCTTTTACATTCACCTGAACAGGCAGACGGGACCTTGTTTAAAGTCTCATCCAAAGAACAGAATGAGTTTGAAACCCAGAAAAAATCTATTGCTCTGGGTCCTAACCTATTGACTTTTTTTCTAGTATTTTTCTGCTCCTTGTAATAATGTGAAGTGGTGTCCTGTAGCGTTTTGATTATAGAGCACTCACCTCGCAAGCAAGAGGACCCACGTTTGATTCCCGGGTATGGCAAAACCTTAGGCAAATATCCCTTCTCCACACGTCACTATTCAACAAGCAGTAAGTAGGAACCCAGTAAGTCGATTGGCAGATCGCTTTCTGGGGGTAATAATCCCTCCCCCCAAAAAATTTGATCACTCAATCCACGACTGTTTATGGGACCCAAAATATACAGTCAATCCACTTCACAGTATATTCTGTGATGCACTTTGAGACTTCTCAATGATGTAATAAGGCGCTATATCAAATGCAAGAATTATTATTAATATTATTATTACTATTATGTTTATTCAATAAAATTAAACCGGAGATCCTTGTCTGTAAGTGATAAGGTGGTGAAGGGAGTCTGTTTTTGCTGTCTCTTTTAAGAGTGTAGTGCAGAACTAAGCACATCTCCCCTCTTTCTCCGGCTGACCTAGGTGGCTCGCTGTATTATCTTGACATGTAATTATCCTAACTCTTCTTAATCATTTCGCCGAAGATTAATTGTGGAAGACAACAGTGACAAGGTATAGGTCAGCGTTTTGAGTGAGAAAGCCTCGTTTTCTGTTTGAACCATGCATCATTGAATCAATTAATAAACTTCAGTGAAAGGAAGCAAGATTTTATTTTTTTTTCGGTCGGTGCGGGGGATGGCAAGGGGTGGGGGGGAGGTGGGTGCGAAGATAAAATGTGGGTTACATTCAGTCGGGCATGGTATGCTGGGGGTGGGGGGGGGGGGAAGGGAAGGCATGAGACTTTGAATGAAATTTGAAGGCAACTCAGTTTGGCATCTGCATAATAAAGCTCTTTTTCCATGCTCAATGGTTTAGGAACCAACCCGTCAGTTTATTTTTTAACCCATTAAGCAATTCTCCACTACTTCCCTATTGTCTCTTGCCTCATATTACACCCTTTCAACCCCCTCTTCTCTCCTCACCCCTCCAGTCCCAAGATCTTTTAAACCTGTCCCTAGTCGTGTAGCATGGTGGTTAGCGCATTTGCCTCGCAAGTGAGAGGACCCGGGTTCGATTGTCGGGTGGGGTGAAACCTTAGGCAAATTTTTTTTACTCCACACACCTTTGTTTACCAATCAGTAAGTAGGAACCTGGTTGTTAGTCGATTGGCAGATCACTATCCAGATATAAGCCCCTCTCCCAAAAAATAATGATTTAGTCACTCAATCCACGAATGTTTGTGGGACACTGTTGTGCTAAATTGGCTGCCGCGTTTCGTTCATAAAATACGCAGTCAATCCACTTCACGATACATTCTTTGAAGCGCTTTGAGACATATCAACAACATGATAAGGCACTATAACAAATGCAAGGATTATTATTCTTATCATTATTATTCGGGACAGGTGGCTGTGAGTCTGAGCCCAGGGCTGGCAATCAGACTACATTGAAATCCCAGTGCATTAGCGAGGATATGCTACATTGCTGGAGGTGCTTTGGTCCTGTCCTCTTTTGACTCAGGTAGAACTTAAATAATAATAATCATAATTTTTGCATTTGGTACAGCACCTGTCATGTTATTGAGACGTTTCTTAGCGTTTCAGAGGATATCCTGTAAAGTGGATTGACTGTGTATTTTATGGGTGAAATACGGCAGCCAATGCACCCAGCAATGTCCACAAACAGCCATGGAGTGAGTAATTTTATAATTATTGGCCAGGACACCAGGAGAGAGAAACTCACTTTTCTTTTCAAATAGTGCCATGGGATGGATCTTTAATGTCCGGTTTAACATCTCATGCAAAGACAGCACCTACGACAATACACCCCTGCATTGGAGTGTCTTCTTAGACTATGTGAGTTCAAATCCCTGGGATTTAAACCCACAACCTTCTGACTCAGAGGCGAAAGCGCAACCACTGCGCCAGACTGACAAGACCACACAGCACCATTGTGAGAAAGAACATAGAATTTCCTTGGTTTTCCTGGCTGGTATACCAACCTCAGTCAGTTTAACCAAAACATAATGACAAATGCTCAAAATTGGTCATTCACTTCATGCTGTTTGTAAGCCATTGCTCTGTACAGACTGACTGCTGAGTTCATCTACAAAGGACACAATCACTACCCTATTCTATGTAGGATTTGAGATGCCTTTACAATGTGATCAAAAACAAGGAAAATGATGATGTTTACAATTATAATAATAATCCTTGCATTTGATATAGCACCCTATCACATTGTTGAGACATCTCAATGGACTTCGCAGAATATACAGTAAAGTGAATTGACATTTTTTTGTGGGTGAAATGTGTCAGACAATTGCGCGCAGTAATTTCCCGTAAACAGCCAAGTGATCAAATGACCAATTTTATCTGGAGAAATTGTTGGCCAGGACACCGGGAAAGAGAAACTCCCTTTTCTTTTCAAATAACAGCATGGCATCTTTAACATCCACCTGAACAGGCATCTAGGATCTCGGTTTAACGTCTCATCCAAAGGATGGCAACTCCAACAATATAGTGCTCCCCTGGGTTGCATTGGAGTGTCAGCTTAGACTATGTGGTTCCAAGTCCTGACATGGGGCTTGAACCCACAACTTTCTGATCCAGAGAGAGAGTGCCTCCAGCAAGCAACCCTCCTCCATTACATTACACGACCACTAGGATTCGTCCATCAACAGAGAGCACACCATCTCACTCGCCCTCCAATTGCTACCACTGGACCTCGTGGAAAAGTCCCCTTTGACAAACGCCTCCCAAGTGATCACATTCCACTAAGCACACTGAGAACCACATTATACAATAAATCCAAATACAGGCTATCTGAGGACAGCAACAAGCAAGAGTAGATAAAGGGCAAACAGAAAGCTAGTCCGTGCCCAAAACACTGGCCAAACACAGGTGATCGCGCACTAGCTACCCTGAAGAAGAGTGTATAGTAAGTAACACCACAGGTGAGAGGGTACTAGCTACCTCACAGGTGAGGGAACAACAGCTATATTTCTGGTGAGTAAAACACCATCGACCTTACGGATGAATGTACAACAGTGACCTTACAGGTAAGCAAAACACCAGCTACCTTACAGGTAAGCATACAGTAACACTATTAGCGAGAGTACAGAGTTAAGACAGCAGAGCACGATTCCCACTTACCTTCCTCTCTTTTCCTCTTGGACTCCCCGTTCGATCGCGGGATTCCCAGAATTCCGTTGATGGAGTAGGATCCTACAGGGTCAGTGGAGGCAGAGGAGACAGGAGGAGAGTGTGTGCTGGGGACTGAAAGGAATCAAGTTTTTTATAGACAAAAAGACCAGCACTTTTTACACAGCACATCTGACAGTCTGTAACCTGTTGATCTGCACATTCCTGTTTGGCAAACAATGGACAATTCTATATTTAATTGGTATATGGCTTAGTGATTGGGGGGGGGGGGGGGGCGATAGTCAACTCTTTGGCTCCAGTGATGGTGTGGCGATGGGTGGGGGGGAAGAAGCTATGCTTAATCTTCAGTGTATGCATGACTTCAGGAGATAGGGGGCAGAAAAGCTTAGGGGACCCCTTAAACTTTGTGGAGTTGAGCTGTGCCAATGCTGTGAGAGTGGTATCAAGTGACTCGATCTACAAGAAACCACTTTCGATCGAAGTAAGAATATTGAACAGTGACAACAAACAGCAAATTGTATATATGGCACTTTCCCCGTCAGGAGGAATATCGTACTTGCTCCCTTGTTTGATATCTTTAAGCCATCCCCTGTTGACTCAGTGAATTTGCAGAAACAAAGTGGATCCTCCCCTCCCCCCTCCCCCCATACACACAGAGCAGACCCCTCACACACATGGAGCGGAACACACACATACACACAAAGGAGATTCTCCCACCCCCCCGACACACACATGGATTGGACCTCCCTCACATACGCAAGGAGCATCGCCCCCCCACCCCCACCAGTGGAGCAGAACCCACTACATGATGAAGAGCCAAGATCTACATTGTAGGGTAGAGATGGACAAGGAATGAGGACAAGAGGAAATCAATGGAGATTATTGGCATCAAAGTAGATCTCATAGACGGTGCTCATTTTTGACCAACTCTCTCACTGTGCTGGGAGCTCTCCTGTTACATCAATCATCTACATGGATCAGATCAATTAAAATAATCTGGGCAAACTTCCTCAGGATGAGACGAGGCAAATCTGTTGAAAAGAGCCATTAAGAGAGATATCCCCAGCTCTGATGGCACGGAGAGTTTATCCAGCAAGTAGCCAAGCTCCACGGAACATAAAGGTCCAAGGTTCAACTGCTGATCATGTTTGATGCTGAGTTTCTGGACCTCAACCAAAGTGGAAAAGGTTACTGCAATTGACCTCAGTGCCCTCTCCTTTGGAGGGGGTGGTGTGGGGGGTTGCTATCCCTACCCCCACTTTGTAAAGATACAAACTGAGTTGGGGGCAGGAGCTCTCTCTTTGCTTGGAACGTAGGAATTGCTAGATGAAAAAAGAGCAAGGTACATCTAGTCTGCCTTCTACCATCCTGGTAGTCGCATGCTACAAAAATGGAGATGTTGAGAGCAATTAATTCTTCGGGCTGTTCTGATTCTCTCTCTTCCTGCCCCCTCCAATTGAACACACAGGCGACATGTAACATCGAGGTGAAAGAATAAATGACCACTTGAGGGCAATTGGTGTCTGTACAGCAGTGGAAAGAAAAAGTCAAGGAGGGGGTTTGGGAGGAGAGAAAAATAGGGTGGGGGAGAGGTGGGCAGGATGACTTTTCATTGATAAAAATCTATCCAATTGAAGGGTTAACTCCTGCAGTGATCGCATTGCGCTAGCTGTAAATCCCTCACTATCTCAAAGGGTTAACTTCCTGAAGTGCCTCTTTGTGCCGATTTGGAACCGCTTGGTATTTATGGAGAGTAAAGTCCCCCAACTCCCCATTGTGCTGACTGAACACCAGCCCAGCATAGGGTTACTGCTGGGAGTCATGTTAGATGTAGAGAACTCTCTTTATACTGTATTACACTTATGCTCGCAGGTTTATTTAAACCCAAATTGTTACTGGTTCGGATCAATGGACATTCGCTCGTGGGATATATCATCTACTAAATATTGGGAAACTGGGTGAAAGAGGCACAAGTTCATGAGTTCACCAGAATGGAAGGCGGCACATGGGAGGGGAAGACAGTTAATTAATTGAGGCAGGCAGATGAATGCTGTTTGCCAGAACAGAAAATGCAACTGGATTGTAATCTTTCTACTTTATGCAAACATCATCAGTTAAGGCAAGCCGTGCAATTTGTTGCTGTATTTCTCTCTCTCTCTCTCTCTCTCTGTGAAATTGCTTTAAACTGATGAGGAGATTAGAGCAATTTCTTTTGATGTTTGTCAGAGGCTGGAAAGGCCGGCTGCAAGGGTGGATTGGGAACAGTTAGCTCTTTCACTTCCGGGTCCCAAGAGGTGTGCTGCACGTGACCTGGCTGCCTTTGACCCCCACGTCTCTTACCTGAGTCCGTGCCAGACTCATTCAGGCGAACCTGAGGGAATGACTTTGGGGCAGATCATATTGCTGAATCAGGGGTGTGAATTCACCCTGCAACAACAACAACTTGCAGTTATATAATGGCCTTCACATGGGTTTACGTCTCGGAGGGCTTAACAGTGGCGAAGCCTGAAGCTGAGCACGGGGGGAGGTGACCGTCCGTAAGCAAGGACAAAGAGGAAGGTGTTCAGGCTTGAACATGGTGAAGGAACGGGCAAGATGGAGGGATTGAGGAAGAGAGTTTATAAAGCTTTGTGGCATAGTGGCTGAAAGCATGGCCGCCGATGGTGAAGCAGAAGGGACGAAGGACAATCAGGAAGCTGGAGCCAGCCAAGTAGATGAGCATGAGGATCTAGGAAGTCGAGCTGACACTAAGGACGGGAGGGTACGGGCAATAGAGATTTCACACTAGCAGGTTTTGAGGTGCTCTCAGAGTGAACGTCTCTGTGACTTTCCCCGCTTCCCTGACCAGAGTGCCATCTGAGTTAACCCCCACCCCTCAACACCCCCCCCCCCACACCCCCACTCCCATTATAAAAAAGGGAAAAGAAACCAAGTTTGATCATCCGGTGATCAAAGAGTTGAAACACAGCTTGTCACGACAAAGCAATATTTTCCTGAATCGTTTAAAGGTTATCACCATTGTAAGGTACTACACCTTTTGGCGCATGGGAGTTTTGCACACATGAAAGCATGTGTGGAGAACTGCCCTCATTAGCCTGAACTGGCCTGGCTGCCATTTAAAATGCCATCGTACAATTAAAACGCTACAATATCTGTGAAAACACAGTGATAATTCCTTCAAACGCTCCCTTTCAAAATACAAAAACACATCCAAATAGATTTATCCCAGCGAAAGTGTTAAATTAAAATTGAAATCAATTTGGATCCTGCCTTATAGAGAGAGAGAGAGACAGAGTATTTCTCTGCACCTGTCTCTGTTATCTTCCTTACCTATAGTATGGCCTGGAGCAGAAGATGGTGTGTGGGGGCCATCCGGTGAGGGATGAAACGCCTGCTGCACTTTGGTCCGTATAATCCTGCAAACAAAGCATGAAATCACATCAATTTACCTCAATGATGGGCTCGGCTGCCTCTACCTGGCTATGGCTAATCAGTTGACTTCCATGTAAACAGAGGCTGCCTAAGCACAGCCACCCAAAGTCAAAGCCTCCTGCATTAGACTAAGAGGGGAGGAATTTGATTAACCCCGCGGGGGGGGGGATAGTTTTGAATTCGTTGCGAGCAAAGTGATGCAAAGAGAGAGCTATCAAGTATTTGTGAGGGGAAATGTGAGCTTTATAATGCTGTGAATCAGCCCTGTTCTCGACTGAGATTCCCTGTGCTAACGATACTCTGAATGGGGGTTAGCTGCCAATGATGGTGTATTGCTTTGTGTGCGCGCTCCGAGACGCCATCCAGCAATGAAGAGCTATATAAATGCGAGTTGTTGTTGTGTGTGTTTATGTGTATGTTGTGGATTCCTGTAGCTCAGTGGTTAAAGCACTCGCCTCGCAAGCGAGAGACCTGGGTTTGATTCCCGGCAGGGCAAAACCTTGGGCAAGTTTCCTTACTCCAGACGTCTGATAATAATCCCACAAGAAAAAAAACTATAATGAATTGCTCACTTCAATCCACAACTGTTTGTGGTACACTGCGGTGTGCAACTGGCTGCTGTGTTTCGCCCACAAATATACAGTCAATTCACTTTGCAGTATATTCCAGACTTCTAGACTACAGTGTTCTTCTAGACGTCTCAAAGCGCTATATCAAATGCAATGATTATTATATATATAATATATATAGGTGTGTTGCCCACAAAATATTATCAATTCACTGTATAGTATATTGTGAATTGGATTGAGCTTTGAAATGTCTGAACGACCTGATCAGGCATTATATCAAATGCAAGAATTATATATATATATATATAAACACTATGTTATAATAATAATCCTTGCATTTGATATAGCTCTTTACCATGTCTTTGAGATATCTCAAAGTGCTTCACACAATATACTGTAAAGTATATTTGCGGGTAAAACAAATTTGTTTGCTAATAATAAGAATAATTATAATATGCACACAACAGTAGAGATACACTATAATTATTATTGCCTCTCACACAGTTCTGCAATGTTATAACAAGTCACCCATTTAAAATGTATATATCCTATGTACAAAAATACTGGGGAGTTTTGTTCTGAAAATACAATTCTAATTTACTTGCAGTGTGTTTGGGGATTGTTTTTAATTAAATTTTTTTTTATTTTCATTAAAAAAAATTGGTGTGACTTTCCCTCACACACCCCTCCTCTTTATCAACACGCAGAAATAAATATAAACGGCGCAAAACTAAACTGTTACAAACGCACAACTCAAAAGAAAAATGAATTGCAGTCAGTAATTCATGAAAACTGCAAGCATCCCCTAACACCTTCCATTTTAAATGCTTTGTAATGCTCTTTCTCGACTGAAAGACCTTTAAATACAAGGTGTGTGAACCCAAGTCGCCTCTTTGAGATTTTTTTTCTCTACTCTCTCTCCCCCCCCAACCAACAACAACCATCACCAACCAACCACCCACCTACATGTTATTGTCTGACCTCTAACACTTGGGTCTCTCCGCTGGAAGTTCATATGAAAACAGTCAATATACATCAAACACTCATTGATTTCAATGACTGAAATCGCCTCGGATCTCCCTAGTTAATGCATTTTGTATTGTCCTTGGGGCAAAACGATAGCGGCTACAGGACTTATCAAAAGCGTGTATCAATATTTTATCTGAATTTCCAAATTCTCCCATAACTGTTATTTGACCCCTTTGACTCTCGCCAGCCACATAAATTCACTGCCTTTACTCGCAAGCCATGTCCGTGGATATTGAATAAGCAATTTGGAGGAGGATAAATTAATGACTTCGCCGTTGAGGCAAAAATTCCCTTAAGAAATATTAAAATTGCTTTGACTCAGAATCGATAGCATTGGAAGCCAAGCCGGGCTAACACTTATATATATATATTATATATATATATATGTGTGTGTGTGTGTGTGTGATGGCCGGGAAGATTTTAGTGGTAATTTTAGGCATCAACATAACGCAAAAAGGAAGCTTTTCTCTCTCTCTCTCTCTCTCTCTCACACACATACACACTCACTCACTCACTCACCACCCACCCGCTTAATCTTTAAACATTCATGCAGTGAAAGCGTTTAACTACAACTTGCAATGATTTTGAGATAATCGCCGCACAGTGTATTGAATTAACCACCACCCCCCACCCCCCCCTCTTATCTCTCTCTCTCTCACTCTCTCCCTTCGTTCTCTCTCTGACTCCCCAACAGAAAGATAAAGCGCTATACCACAGTCTGTTTTACCAGACTCTTTTCTTAACAGACGACAAGTCTCAAAAGGTCATTTTGGCCACACCAATTGGAACTCAATGGGTGAAAAGCGATATTAAACCCTCGCTTGAAAGGTTTAGCAGTCGCACACAAACATGTACAGTACATATGCTTACAAATACACAGTCACTGCACTTTGCCATTTGGTATTTGGAATGACAGGTTAAGGCGCTGCATCACACAATCACTATCAACGGGCAATTATTATTGTATATAAGTTGCAGTCTACTAAAATCACACACTCATTTGGAATGGACAATGGTTAGTATTATTAAAATTATTATATTAGTTGCAGTTTGCTAAAATAGTGCTTCCTCGCCACTGTATACCAGTAACTAAACTTTTGTATTCACATACATATATTAAAAAAAATACATTCTCACATGCTGAAATATTACCTTCAACCCAAAAAGCGCCTCGTTAAAACATAATGGCTCTGGCAGCAATATGGCAAAGTGCCTTTTAAGCAAAGATCACTACTGAAAACCAGCAGATACGAGAGAGATAGAGAGAGAGAGAGAGAGAGGTGGGGGTAGAAAGGCGAGATGAAGAGTGAGTGAGAAAGAAAGAATGTTTGAAAAGGTGCGAGAGGAAAGTGCCCTCTGGAAATTTGCAATTTGGGGGAGTTAATGGCGGTTGTATGACTGAAGTAAAGTCAAAGCTTAGTTTAGTTTAGTCAAAGCTCCGGTGTGCATTGGAATGTGTTGAGAGGCTATTGATCCCACCAAAATCTCAGATAAAGGACTTTAAAATTACTCCCAACAATAATAAATCAAGCGGTCCTCAATAAAACCCTCCAAATTGTTCCACACACCCGCAAAAATAACTATGTGCTGTGCACCTATGCGGGTTTATTCATTAAACTTGCTTGAAATCCTTTCCATTCCTTCTGTTGAACGCGAGAATTGCTTTTGAATTCGTTTTTAGGGAGGGTGGTGGGTGTTTGTGTGTGTTATGGGGGGGGGGGGGGGGGGAGAGAGAGAGGGGTGGGGGGGATTTTACAATATTCATATCTCTCCCCCCAATTCTGAAACCCTTTGGGTGTTGGGAGTTTGGGTCAGTAGAGAGAAGAGTTAAGCTAGTTTTTGAGCTATCTCCCCCACCCCCCCACCCCCGGCAAAAACCACAACAATAAAAAACGATCAATTGCTTAGTACCCAATTGTCATCTGTGCCCTCGCTCAACCTTGATTCGATTGCAAGTCATTGAACATGCAACTCAATTGCATTCAAACATCTTTATATATATATATATATACATATATATACACACACTTGTATGCTAAAAAATAACTATTTTTCTCTATTGCAATGTGTTTCTGACCTTATTCGATCGTAAAACGCAATCTTTGTTATTCGCCCACAAAATACACCATGAAGCGCTTTGAGACGTCTCAATGGGTAAGTGGGTGAGTGAGAGTGCGTGTGCGTGTGGAAAGCTTCCTTTTTTTGCGTCGTGTTGCAGCTTAAAATTACCTTCAATAATGATAATTATTAATACTAATAAATTAGTATTATTGTCCCCTAAAAAAAAGTGGCTTCGGAATGAGCCAATTTGCATTTTGCCAATGTTGAGGGCAGACTTATTGCTGAAAATGAGTTTGTTTTTCTGGACTAAAATTCCCAACACCACACATAACCGGTTTCAGTTTTAGTCGAGGTGTGCATGTCTGGTCTAAAAATATACTGAGAGCAAATAGCAAGTTATAGAGGGGGCGAATGTGGCGTTTAGTCCAGAATAGCAACACACTTTTTTTTTTGCAACCAGCTTTTTTTTTCAACGGGTATCGTTTTCTGCCGAGACAGTCACTTGTTGGGGAATGGCATTGGGAGGTTTTTCAGGTGGGGGTGGGGGGGGGGGGGGGTATATTGAAGGGAGCCAACGGTTCCATTGCAATGCAAAAGGTATAGTGCATCCGACTTGGTGTGCGGTTTCACAGTTAGACCCCGCTCTGAACTCCACACAAAGTGCGCATTCACCTAACAAGTCAGCTCTGTTACTGTTAAAAACGTTTGCATTCCTCTTAAATCCCAGGTTTTTTTTTTGCTGTTCAGGCTCATTTGGAGCGATGCAGGAGAGCGAGAGAGAGGGAGAGAAAGAGAAACACAGAGGGAGAAAGTGACAGATGTTTTGAGAGAGCGAGAGAGAAAGAGAGAAAGTAACAGATGTTTTTTGTGTATATATATAAAAAAAGAAAAAAAAAACACGCACAAGAAACAAACAGGTTACCAGAATTAAAAAAATAAAGAATTGACTAAGAATGAGTTTAAATATCCATATATATTATAACTAAATATATATCCTTAAAAGCCGGTAATAAATCCGATCAAATCGAATGATTGTCACCTGTTAAGAAGCGGCTCTGGGTGCAAATTATAAGTAAAAAGCCCCCTGGTTCCTGTTGCTATATCCTCCCGACCCCCCCCAAAAAAAACAACCAAATCTAGTGTCCGTGACCCCACGAACAGGTCTACATTAGTATATCTGCCAAAGTGGAGTAAAGACTTCCTGAAATGCCTTGACCTTGCCGCCCCCCACTCCCTCCCCCGGGTATTAAATGTAGCTAAACAATTGCCCCCACCTTCCCTATCTGTAGCCTTTCCCTTCCACCTGATCTCAACACACCAGCGCCTCTCAGCTAAAGTCACTCAACCTGAAACCTTTAATGAATGGTAGTTTTCATCCCCCAACCCCCAACCCCCCACCCACACACCACCTCACACATCAAATTTCCTCCCAAATTGCAAACTTAAAAAATGTATTCCGCCCCCCAAAAATCACCGGAATTAATGGCCTTGTGATAACACTGTTAAGGCAGGACCCAGACAAGCTAACTAACTGGCCAGCGAGCTAACAGCCTCTTGCAAATGACTCCCAAAGTGGCTTTCCTGCGTTACAGGGGCGAATGGTTTCTTTTGAGTTTACACTTCTCTGTTTCACACACCTAAACGCTTGTTCTCGCTGTTGTATGCCTACACTTACATAACAAAAGTCTGTCAAAAACTTTGGTTGAGGTGCACACAGATGCATAAATTCGGTTGTAAAACTGGCCCACAGGTAAACACACATGCACTACACACACATACAATGTATATTATATATTATAATATACATCATATATAATATAATAGGGGCTATCAACAATGCAAAACCAGTAAGGAGAATATCAACAATACTGACATTTTGTTCTATATATATATATATAGAGAGAGAGAGAGAAACAAAATGCAATTTCGCAAATATAAACCTGGACAACAAACACATCGGTAACTCAAAAGCATATCGAACAGCCCTTGAAAGAGGACGATTGGGTTGTCGGCATTTTTGTTGTGTTTGTGTTTTGAAGCTTTTCTTTGCCCAGTGATTTTTCGCCTTAATTGGGCTAGATAGAGCCTTATTATTTTCCTAACACCCAAACCAGGTGAGTGTGCAGCTTTGTATTGTATTCTGGCTTTGTGTTGTTGATAATTTCCCTAACCAGCAAGGCTGGGAGCCCCGCTCTTCAAATGAGTTAAGGCATTAGGCGTTCTTGACAAATGGGTTATTCATTTATTTGCCTTGAACTTGGATTTGGGTATCGAAAATCTCTCTCTCTCTCTCTCTCGCTGAAACCGATGCAATCGGGTCGTTATAGAGTCAGCGTTTTGCAAACCCAAATCCCCATGTCTCTCCCTCGGCGCTGTGTAACTAAAGCCGGATTGTATCGTTCAAAAAAACACAGCAACAATTTGTGTTGTAATATAGCGCCCTTCAATCTTAAATCAACCTGTTTTCACCTCTATTTCCCTGCTCTGCCATTCATTTATTTTAAAAATCTGATCTGACACCAAATAAACTCGCACAGAAATCCCACAATTAGCAAAACAAAATCGGTTTGTGGTTACTAATTAACTTTTTTTCTTACAAAAAACACACACACAAAACATTGTCCATTTCATTGCATTAATCTAAAGGGGGCAGGTAGGAGTGGGGGGGGGGGAGCATCAATTATTGCATTAAAACCGTGCATCATTTCCAAATTAAAATTAGATTGTTTTTACTGTAAAAATAAGTTATATTATATAAATAATATAGACCAATAGATAGTCAATTCACTTTACAGTATATCTGTGAAGCGCTTTGAGACGTCTCGAATTTGCTATATTAAATTCAAGAATTATTATTATTATTATTTTTTAAAAACCCATTTGCCCATTATTGTACCTGTTAATGGAGCTGACGCTTGGTACACTGTCATTATCACATATGCCTTCCGCCAAGAGCCGGTCTCTGATCTCCCAGGCAAACATAGTCGGATTCTGTCGCTTGTATTCAGCTATTTTATCCACCACCTTCGGGGTTGCGACTTTAGGCTTCGATCCGCCAATAACACCGGGCTTAATACTGCCCGTTTCATAGTATCTAAAGGGAGGGGGTATGTGTGTGTGTGTGTGTTGGGGGTGGGGGTGGGAGAGGGGATGAGAGAGAGAGATGAGAGAAAATGAAACTAAACAGGTAGGAACTTCAAGACTGCAACAAGAAAACAAGATGCATTTTTTTTCTCTTGGAACCGTTTTTGTTTTGCACTCCTCGCCCCCCCACCCCCCCCCCCCATAATGAATTTCTTAGCAATTAAATGTAAGGAGAAACAACAGCAAAACGTCATCCGAGTCGTTATTTACTGCCCTCGTAAATGGAGGTGGCACAGTAAAACGAAAATAAATCATTCAGTGAACTCCAAAAGTCTTAGAAGTGTCTGGGATTACAGTACTGTACTCCCTATATCGGGTCTAAGTCCATGCAACCAACAGATAAAAGCTAAAAGCATCGATCCGGGTCCGGTTATTAAATAACAGGATATTAAATAACAACATATTAAATAGAGTAATTAATATTTTTGAAAATGACAAGGTTTGTTTTTAATCTTTAACTTTTGTCATTGGCGAACGAGCAAGAAAATACCCCCCAAACACACACATATTCCCTCCCTATAAGTTTCTGATCAGCTACCGGTCCTTGATCCAATAAGGAGAGGGAGGGGAAAGGGAGAGAGGGAGAGAAGGGAAATAGAGAGGGGGAAGGGGGACAGAGAGAGAGAGAGAGAGAGAGAGAGGAGAGCGGGGAAAGAGAGGGAGACAAAAGGAAAGAAAAACAGTTGTTTTTTAAGCATCGCACTGGGTTTGTGTGCTACTGTATATTAATGTCTCACCTTTTTGCATCTTTTTATTTCATTGCAAAGCCACAGGATAAATGTATATAATGCACACAATATAACACACACACATAACACAAGACATGATATGACACACACAACATATAACACATGCATACGATACACAAAACATAGCATGCACACAATATAACACAGCATAGTCACAACACAGACACACACAACATACACATTCAGCACACACATACAACGCACGAAACATAACTTATACACAGACACATACAACAACAACAAAATTACATTTGTGGTATAACGCCTTCCATGTTCACGTCCATACACACGACATACATACACATCGCACACACAACATACACACACACACACACATCATACGCACACATAAACACACAATGGTGACTTTTACCCCCTTATATATCCATCTGCAAGATTGTTTATTGCATTAGTTAATTAACTGACCCTCTGTAAAGGGGACTGAGCCGTCTGGTAGTGTTAAAAAAACACACTACAGGCGGCTTCTAACAACCTCCCATTTACTGCAGTCCCACTTCAAATAAAACCCCAGCATTAGTGGTAGCGGTGGATTGGTTAACATCACACAGAGGGACAGAACCGTTCAGCAAGTAAATGGAAAGTTTTTTTTCAACATTGTGTGTGTGTGTGTGGGGGGGGGGGGGGGGGAACTATTGACACGTGCAAAATACCCAATTTCTCGGTTCATTGTCCCACGTGTGACTTTGTTTTTTTTCCCTCTCTAGATTGTTCTATTTGTCTCTCTTTTTTAAAAAATAATAAAATCATAGATGCAATCCAGCGAGCGAGCCATTAAAAGCAGAGGGACCCAGGCGCGGGTTATACCCGAGGTGAAGCGGTTAAGCAAATAGACTTGGGTTGAAACATGAGCTGCCACCCCCCCCCCTTTTTTTTTGAACGGGTGGGCACATTGGCAACTGGTTGGCATCGCTCATAGTAGTTCCATTTTGCTTAAGGAGGGCACATGATTGCCCATTGCCCACACGAGGTGACATGTATAGAGCGTGTGTGGGCGCCCAATGATCCAATAATACATACAGAACCCACTCCAGTCTGTCTGTGGGTCCATCTACTGTGGGAATGTCTAACGCCTTTCAACTCAGTGTGAAAACAGCTGTTATACAGCACACACGCCCAGTGTAGTGTACTGACTGGCTGGCCATCGTTTTTTTCCAAGAGCATGAGAGAATTGGAAAGTTTACTGTTCTGCTAAAATGACAACAGTAGTTGTCATGGTGCTCCTAACATTGTCTTTCTCTCTCTCTCCCCCACACCCCCACCACACCACCATCTCTCTCACACACTCACAAACACACACACCAACAGTTATATCATCTGAATACAATAATATGTTCCTAAAAAATAGCTTGGCGCACAAAATTCACTTTACAGTATATCCCGTGAAGCGCTTTGAGACGTCTCGACGTCCTGATAAGGCGCTATATCAAATGCACGTATTATTATTATTATTATTATTATTATCATCAAAAGGCGAGTTCACAACTTTTTTTTACACTGTTCTGTGAAGACTGATTTTGGAGTAATTTTCTGTGATAAGCATTGATTTTTTTTTCTTTGTTCACTTTTTTTTCTTTATTCATAACAAACAGTTGTGTTTGATTATGGGAAACAACCTATATATATATTATATTATGATTTTAAAAAAAATGTAATCAGCGCTTCGGGTCGTGGGAAGAGGAACCTCGAAAAAAATAACCCATTACAAAATATAAATATATATATAGTAAATTCGCATCCCCAAAAATCATTCGGTCCCCCCCAAAAAAAAACAGCAGCACAGACATAAACCTTTAGAGCTGCTGTCCTTAAAAATACCAACAATATAAAGTTATTACAGTTTTTGAATGATTTGTCCAGACAATTCTGAGACCCTCAGACCTGTGCCCCAGTTTTTCCAGTCCTATCGAATGCCATTGACTAATAATCCAGTGCAGATGGGTTGCGTGGGTGTCTCAGCTCTCTTTAGTGCTAAAGACAGGCGCAGGAGAAATTTCATTAAGCTTTCAGCTATCCAGTCTCCTTCTGTCTGCGGCGTTGGAGACGGCGTTTTGACTAAATTTGCTCTCAATTATTCCTAAACAGCGCTGTCTCACTCTCTCTGTCTGCTGTCTCTCTCTCTTTCTCTTTCTCTCTCTCTCTCACACACACACACACACACTTTCTCAATGAATTGTTTTCGCTCTATGCTTGTTTTGTCGCGCCACCGATTTATTTCTATTTAATGCACCGATTCTAATTATTATTATTGTTTGAGAGGGGGAAATGAACAAACTTCGAATCTTTCCTTGTGGGGCTCTTCGGAGCTAACTGTCTGATAACTGGGGAGAATAAAATAGGCGCCTCTTAGTTTATATAAAAAAAAGTCGCGAAAAACACCAATTAAGTTTCTTAATTATATTTATTGCAAAAAGAGGGCTTTTTTAAAAAAATAATGCGATATTTTCCGTGGAGTGTGCGCCTCTGTTCTGTCACCTCGTTGCTCGTTTTTTTTCCCCCTTCCCTCCACTGTTTGATATGAATTTAGTGATTTCCAAAACATATCGTTAAAAAATTATATCCGAAAAATGCCTCTTTTTTTTAAAATTTAGCCTCTCTGTGCTTGTCGCTTTCACCCCTTTACTTCCCCCTCTCTCTGTGTGTGTGTGTGTGTGGTACTTGTGAGTTCACTCCTTTATTTATCCCTCTCTCTCTCTCACTCTCTCTCTCCTGGTCAGTTTCACCCCTGCATCTCTCTCTCTCTCTCTCTCTCTTTCTTTCTCTCTCTCTCTCTCTCTCTCTCTCTCTTGGTACTTGTCGGTTTCAAACCCTCACCTGCCTAGAATCTTGCTGACACAACCGTGGCTGACTCGCAGTTGCCTGGAGATGTCGCAGGGTCTGACTCCTTGGTGTGCGAGCTCCACAATGCGCTGTCTCACTACGTCAGGTAGGGGTCTGCCATTCACAAACACTCCTCCCAGCTGATTGACACCCCCGTGCCCTGCAAAACACACACAACTGAACTCATCCCAGGTAGAACTGCAACCTGAAAGACAGAAACAAAAAAAAGAGAGAGAGAGAGAGAGAGAAACAGAGGGATGGATGGATGGATGGATGGAGGGAGGGAGGGAGGGGGGGAGTGAGGGAGGGAAAGAAAGAAGAGAAAGCATCGCAGTAGCAAGAGAGAGAAAGGATGGGGTTGTGGGGTGGGGGGGAGAGAGAGAGAGAGAAAGAGAAAAAGGTGGGGAAGGGGAGGAAAGAGAAGAGAGAGGGGGAGTGGAGGGTGGGGGAGAAGGGAGAAAGAAACAAGGAAGGAAGGGGAAAGAGCAAAAAACAAAACAAAAGGGAATAAATCGAAGGTATGGGATAAAGATATTACATATACAGTATGTGGACACGTGTATCAAAAACATATACACACACCCTCTCACTCTATGTAATTCACGCACTAAACTGAATAGCCATCTTGTACAGAGAGTGCGGCGCTTTGTAACTATCTAACTTTAATTTAAGAATTAATTGTGGGACTCCTCAAATCAGACAGAGTATGGATTCGAGCGGCCACTTTGTGTGTGTGTGTACAAAAAAATATCCGCTAGCCTCCAGCACACCCATAACTGTATTATTGTCATAGGAGTGCAAAAAATACTTTTTTTTTCGTGGGGGAAGGGGAAGGGGGTAGCAGAATGATTTTAAACCAAGATTTGTTTTCTTTTAGCACATCAATAATAAGCATCAAATACCCTTAGATGTAAATGTCGGTGTTGTTATTGAGCAGGTGTGAATTGTGTTCAAGGAGACGTTTACGTGTGTGTATGTGTGTAAAAATGTGTATGTGTGTTCGCTTGACTAATACTGGGAGATCTATTTACTAAACAGCATGCTGCTTATTAGGTGTATAGGGAACAAACATGTTACAAGATTGCTTCCCTATAGGCTGCACAGACCCTCTGAAAAAATTCCTCCACCTTCTCCTTCTTCCTCTTGTCTCTATTGTGTGTGCTGTGTGT